TGACACTTCCAATAAGGAATTTTTCTCTATAAATGACAGAAAAAGACACAGTTCAGTATTTTTCTAGCATTTCCATCCAATCCAAAACTAAATACTCACTTTAAGAAAACACTAATCTCTGAATGTTTTTGTTTAAAGCCATTTAAAGATCATTTCTAGTGAAGCTGGGAAGCTGGAAATAGAAATAAGCTCATTAAGAGCTACGCTATGGTTATTATTAAAACACCACAATAGTCCATCTTCTCATGCATACACAACCTTGCATAACTGGAGATGTCAGCATTTTCATTGTAAATTCTGCTTTCAGAGGTTTCAAATTTGCCTGTAAAAAAGTTGTTATGGCCTGAAATTTGTTGCTATTTCCCTGCCAAGGAAGAACTATTTTAATATTAGGAAACTATGCATTCATTGGAGTCGGCCACTGGTTTGGGGTTTTATCTATACAAGTGGTTTAAAAAAAAAGAATAAAAAGATAAAAAAACCTCACAACTCAGCATCTTCGAAAATCTTCTGGCTCAAAAAAAACCCAAAAAAAACCAAACCCTCACTAAAGGAATCAAATTCCCAAAAGTTAATAACCATTATACTCCTTCAGAAAGCTTCAGCTGTATGGCAGATAAGCCTAAAACATGCAATTATTTCTGCTACTTTGCAAAATAGTAGCCACACTGAGAGACTACCAACTCCCAGTGTCTCATCAACACTGACTGTAAATAACAACCCTACCCACGTCCAATTAGTTTGAAGCTCAAGACCATGCCCCTGCTAAAGGGGTGCAGATTTTAAATACAGAATGGACACATTAAGACTGATTTAATCTGGCTGCTTGTACAATTCCCCAGAATCTCAGCTAGCAAATCCTGTACTGGGCCAAATAACTTACTGAACCAGATCCCTGAAAGGGCAGCCAGCCCTCACCCGAAGCTGTGGGGATGTCACATTCCTCCATAATGGGCTTTAATAATTGCCCTTCCATGAAATAAAATTAAAAGGAAAAGAAATTAAAAAGATAAAGCCGGCTCTGATTTAACTAATAGGTTTGAATTCTTAATTTAACTCACAGATATCAAAGCCGCTGTTCTCGTTTGAAAAAGAAAAAGCCAAAATAAAACAGCCAAAAGGGAGCCCTGGGTGAACCATTTGCTTTATTTTTTTCCTACCAAACTAGAAGCAGCATTCTGGTGGTTCTACACCACCTCTGTCACAGGAAAATGATGGATGTGCAGGGTCCCCCCGGCCCTGGGACCTCTCAGCAGGGTGGCACTGGCTGGAGACAACCCATGGGGACAGCCCAGGATGGGGAGCAGGACAGGGGACATCCCACCACCACAGCATCCCTCCTCCACTCACTGGAGCACCTTACAAAATCCCACATCCTGACCCAGGCAGGTCACAGCAGCTAAAGAAGGAGCTCCAAGTGGACAGTGCTGACCACTGTGACCACAGGTGACAATAATCCTTAAGCACTGCCAACATTTACACAAAAATGAAGGTACATTGCTCATATTACTCAACATTTTTGCAGAAAGGAAGGTGCTGTGCTGAACATACTTATTTTTGGATGTTGTTTAGCGTCAGCAAGTGGCTATGGCTGAGTAAATCCCATAGAAAAACTCCTTATTCACTTCCACCATAAGCACACGTTACCCCTTAAAGGGGATCTCTCCCCTTCCCTGCTGCTCCTGGGAACCTCCCAAATTTAGGACCATTCTGAACTACTGTGTTTTCCACAGGACACAGAAATAGGCTGTCCCTTGTGGAAAGCTTAAATTAATCCTTTGAAATTTGACCTAAATTAAAAGAATTGAAACGCGTTGTCACCACACCGGGCGGGGGCTCCGAGTGGGTGCTCCAAGGACGGTGTCAAGGCATTGCATGAGGGTAAGAGACCAAATTAGCTCCCCAGCAGGGTGATAACACACAGCCTGGGCAAGGGGAGGTCAAGGGAGAGCTCACTATTTATCAAATATATGTCCAAACTAATTATTCAGTTCACAAAGTAAGCCTTGAGCCCATGTGTGCGGTCAGAGCCCTTGTGAAACGCTGGCTGCCATCAAAGGCCTGGGCACACACAGGCTCAGAGAATGGTGCCTTTGTACACGCTGGGGGAGGCTCGTTTCCAAATGTTTAAAAGCAGAAAAAGTCTCTCTGCTCCCCTAGGACAAAAACCATGTATGTAAACACTAGATGTGAGATATAATCTGAGAGCTGACAGTCCTCACAGAAGTCCTACAGGTCCTGTTTCTGCTCACACAGCTCAGGAGCCCCGGGTTTTGCCATCACTGCTTGGGAATAAAGCACCACAGCTGAGATCCACCACGCTCAGGATCCCACAACATCAGCACCAACGTTACCACTCACAAGGGATCAAGATGCCATTTTCAATGTAAACACTTTCATACCGAGCAGAGTAATGCCCAATGGTCACAGAGGGAGATTTATTTACTCAAGACTGACTGAGAAGAGCCAAAAAGCACAGCACTCCCTTAATGCATGACATCTTGCACATATCCATCAGCTGATTACCCTGTTAGATAAATACTGCTTGAACTAAAGCACATACTTCAGTATTTTTTACACATAGCCAGACACTCTGAAGAAAATTATTTCAAATGCCCCTAAAGTTACGCATGGCTGAGAGAAGGTATTTTCTCTGTTACACCCAAAGGAACAAATCTCAATTCCTGTTGATGTTGTGTACAGCTTTTCCAATAGTCTGAGTCACTAAGACAATAAACAATAACAATCCAAGCACCTTGTATTAAAAATAAATAAATAAATGCAGACAATTCAGGGCATGTCCCTGAAGGAAGACTCAGGAGCAGATCAGCAAATGTCACCAAAGGTCACGGCCCTGCCGACCTCCTCAGCTGGCATGAAATGTCATAGCCCTAATGACTGCAGCCAGCACCCCCACTGAAAATTTACATTATTGGAGCACCTGACCCCCCAGATTAGCTGGGTCCAAAACGTTTTGGCATTTACTAAATTAAAAAAGAAGTCTGCTCTGTCTTTGAAGAGTTTTTTTGAAGGGTTTTTTTTTGGTTTGGGCTTGGAGAGTTTGTGGGTGGCAGTGATAGAACCCAGAGAAGGTGATTGTGTAAAAATTTGGTTGTGTTTTGTTTTTTCTTATCAAAGGGTTTAATAAAATACATAAAGGAGGTTTTATTTCCCAACTCTCAGATATAAATTCCACACAATTCCCTGTATTCTGCAGTATAAAAGCTCTTATTATGCCATTAACTTAGAAGCATTTTCTGATTTTTTTCCTTCTTTCTGGTAATGATTTGGGTTCTCACATCTAAAATTGTTTCACATCAGTAACATTCCTGCCCAGGAAAGAAGTTTTAACTCTTTTTTAACAATTTACTCTTTGATAAAACCCAGATTCCACCCCTCAATATATTCAGTGTGTAAGAGACACATTCTCAAACTGTGCTTTTTAAAATAATATAAGCTATTCTTTCCCTGAAAAGCTGCAAAATTATCGGCCACCATTCAAAAAATATTACTCTTCTTCCTGTAAGACACTTCACCAGTCTTCAAATACATTATTTCTGACTTAACCCTAAAAACTAGGGGACCTCACTACAAAGCTAGTCTGAAACCAGAATTATTCATGATTTTGTCAATCTCCTGAAAAGCCAAAAAGGCACCAGATGTTCAATTAACAAATCATACAGTAAGTGGCAACAAGAGTTGGGTTGTTTTTTTTTTTTAAATCTCAGGTTACCTTTGAAAGAAAAAAAAAAACCCACAAGCATTTTTACTATCAACAATCTCTGTGGCTGACAGATGACAATATTGCTATTCTCTGAGAATTTTTTTTTCAGGAACGTTTGCTAGGGAAGAGGGCTCATCATCTCTAAATAGTTCATCCCCTGCCATCAATAAAAATGTACTTGGAGCGGATTCTAAAAATGCGTTAGCTGGTGACGTCTATTTTTAGAGGCAGTGGATAGAAGCAAATAAGTTTTGCATGAAGAATTATTAAATAAAAACAAAACTGCATCCATGGACATGAGTAGTAGAATGTGTAAAGGCCAAACTCTCTGCAGCAAGCTTGCCAGGTCAGAAATGCTCTGTGGGCTATTAGATCAGCTTGACAGCTGAGTTATTGGAACTGTGATCACTCCTCCAAAAGACAGATACAACCTTATGAAAGAAGCCTCACTTCCTCCCCCAGATGCTCGGAGAGCAGGAATGATCCAGCACAACACAGTAAAATCATTCTTCAACACAATCAGCCCACAACAATAAAAAAGCAGCCCCTCCTGAGCTCTCCAGAGAAGAAAACCACTTTGCAAAGCTTGAGGAACAGACAAACCTAGAAGAACATACCAACGAGGGCAGGCTTAAAATAGGAGATTTTATCAAAACACCTCTTTCAACATGAAGGTCTAGATTGGCCTTTGCTCTCACAGCAATAAACTCCAGCCATTCTATTGAGATCTCAGCTTTCACACCTTCAGAACTTGTGATCCAGACAGTGAAAGTTTGTCCTGAGTACAAACACCAACAAAGCTGCAACAGCATTTCTGCAGAGTGCCTGGCAAAACTAAACATTCACAAATGAAAATGAATAAGATTCATTTTTCTCTGGACTCCTCAGGTTAAGACAATCCCAAAGAGCAGCAGCCACTCATCCGCTTCATTCCTTGAGACAGCAACACACAACAGCACCAAAGTGCCACAGACTGGTTTCCTTAAAGACCCATTCCTGAAAACTTTCATCTGTACACTTTGATTATACAACGTGATGACAGTCCCAAGTGAAATCACTGACACCACTGGCTTGCACAAGAATAAACAAACTCACGCTTGTACAAACACAGCCCGGGCGAGAGCAGGGAAAGTCAGAAACCGTAACTCTCCAGGGCTGCTCTGTTACTTGCCTTAGATTTACCAGAGCACATGGAAAGATCTTGACTTCTATTTCAGATGTCCAAGCATTTAAAATTAACTTCTTTTAAGGAATTAAGTATTTGAGAGTGATTTACCTTCGGGTTCCACCGTGGTGTCTTCAACAACTAAATTAAATGAAGGTCGAGCCAGGGAAAGTCCAGCCATGGTGACCACCACCAGGCAGATAAGGCAACCCGAATCCCAGCTGACCATCTTTTTAGAGTAAATCCCTGGTCCATTTCCATATCTCCATGTGGACTTTAATCCCATCTGAGCACCTCTAGAGAAGCATGGAGAGAAAGCTGTGCCTTCGGCCAGGGTAATGCCTCCTCCCTTGGAACGACGGCTGCTGCTGCGGGGAGGAGAGAGATTTAACACTGTCAGCAAAAACATCTCCAAACACAAACCAAAAACCTTCATAAAGCCTCAAACAGAGCTGAGGTGAGAGGGAGGGGAGCAGGAGGATGGGAAAAATAGTTTTCCAGCTTCAAGAATATGTGAAAAGTGAGTGACTTTTCATCTTCTGTTAGCAGTTTCCATCATCACCTGAGGCGTAACCAAGTCCTCCTTGTTTTCACAAAATCACTTCTCAGCACATATTGAGAGTTATTTTACTGACAGAAAAACATACAGGTTTTCAAAAATGAGAGGCACCCACATGTGCAGGCACATAACCTGTAATGCTACCAAATTACCACAATTATACAAATTATATTCTTGTTATTGTTTGAAGGTTTATGTAAGTTTGCCTTGTTTTTCATTCCTTCACCTAGGCAGTTCTGCAGACAGATGAATTTGCAGGAATTCAGTAATTTTCCACAAGAAAAACAGTTGAAAAAACATACTGCTTAGACCTGGAAAAATCTGTAAGACTATTTCAACTCAGGACTTCCAGCTCCCCCCATGGATGTACCTTCTTCTGACTCAGTTTAGTGCCCTTTGGAAGCCCCTGAGTCCTGGGCAGGTGAAAGGCTCAAATCTTTGCAGTGATATTGGTTTGCTACACTGCATGAATTAAAATCTGTATAAAATATGGTATGGATTCCTGTTTCACAGGAGACCTGCCCAGCACCACTTTCCATCCATGCATGCCAAGCTATGTGCACAAAACTTTCTTTGCTCAGTCTCTCAATGGTGCTTATTGAGATAGACATTTTTTCCTCCCACCTCTGAAAAATATATCTTATTCACAATAAAACAAATTCAAATGGATGGAGTTAAGTGGTAACCCAGCCATGGTCTGACAGAGAAGTGGCACCAAAGGAACTGGCACTCCCTTCAGGGGACCCTGTTGCCTCCACACTGAGATGAGATGTGCCAGGTGAGGGTCAGAAGAGCATCCTCCTCAGAGGGTGATTTAACAGCTCAAGCAGAAAATTAGACCTGATTTTCCGCTTCAGAAATAAAAGTAAAACCTCAGTAAATGGATAAAAAAAAGTAACTGCAGCAATTGTTCTAATCTGGTCAATGATTCATCTTAGATGTGATGAAACTCAACTGAAATTTGGAGAGTGCTTGTCTGGAAGGGGAAAAAAATAACACAAAACCTCTTTTTCCCTCCTGCCCTCAACACTTGAAAATTTAAAAAAAAAAAAAAAAACGTAAGGGAGTGTAGAGATAAAGTAAACCTCCAAACTCCTTGTCATTGGGATTTGGTGTGGTACCTCAGCATGCTGAAACAGGGACACCGATTCTCCTTTTATAAAGCCAACCATTTAAAAAGTTGATTCTGATTTTTATTAGCCTTGTGCTAGCTGCCACGAAGTTCACAAATGCTGTTGAGGCATCTTTTACGTTGGGTACCATACACAGAACTTCTGGAGTCAGTAGAAACAGGTTTTGGATGGCATAAAGAAGTCACTTGAGGAAAACAACACAAGGTGAATCCCTGCTACTTCAGGGCAAGCTTTTCCCAACTCGGTTGGTATCACCTCAAAGCCCCGTCCCTCCTGTAAAGATTTCAGCCTGGCTCCAGCACCCCAGACCACAAGCTAGCAACTACCATTAAATTTCCAGTGAAAACACCACCAGACCACTGCACAAACATTTGCCAAGAGCTTGCCCAGCCCTTCTCTAAATAAGCACAGAGCAGGTGTAGAGCTGAAGAGAGCTCTGTCTTTGGGCCCAGTCTGTGTGTGGAGCAGGACTGGAGCAAACCCCCCTGGATGCCACCACCCAAGTCCACTGCCCTCCTCGCTGTCTGGCAGCCACAGCCCTGCAGCTCAGTTTATCCAGCTGTAAAGTGGGTAGAAACCCCTAATTAACAGCCTGGGTGTAATGCTGATTTAATTTCCATAAATCATCCTGTAAACTCCGATTAAAGTCTACGTTGATAAATGCAAAACCCCATCATGGTTTTGCAGAAAGAAAACATACCAGAAGGCCAGCATGTATTTCAGACTCCAAGAGCATTAATTCCACTGACATTCCTGCAGTTTCAGATTTTCAGACTACACTAAACCCCACTGAAAGCACATTTGTGGTTCCTATCCTCACCCTAAAGCCTGAAGTGCGGCACAAGGCTACTCGGCCACGCGTCTCCTCACCTGAAGATTTTTGTTGCCTCCTGCACCTCAACATCTGCCGGTAGAAAGAAGAGATTCTTCATCCACAGGGCAGCAGCAAACCCAAAATCCTGGCTTGTGAAGGTGCAGCAACGCAAAAATCAAAGCTCTGCACCCATCCATGGAGCCAAAGCACTCTACCACCAGGACAGCAAACGGGCTTCAAGGGTTGCCCTCTCCCAAAAGAAGAGGAGTCCAGCGAAGATGAAACGAAACCAAATTCTTTTCGTAGTTTAATTGCCAGAGTTGCTGGGGGACGAGTCCCTGGAAAGACCTCCTGTGCTGGATAATTATGTACCTCTATCTCAATGTTTGGAACACAGCCCCAGCATGCTTTTTGGCCTCCACAATTCTGGCTTCCTGACTACAATACCATAATCCCTCCTGGAGTCTCAGACTCAGTGAAAGCCACACGTAGTGTTTATTTTTCCCCTTGAAAGGGAACTCTGTCTCTCTTCTCAGCCTACACTTTGGGGAGGAGTTGTCAGCCCCCACTGATTGATGGCTCTCCTTGCCACTCGCTCATCAAGTCAATTTTCACCTCGTCACATACCTGCCCAAATTTTCTTTGCCAAACTGACAAGCATGGGAAAGCAGACTGGTTTGGGAGCCCAACCAAATTCCTCCAAGCTGTACTTCAGTTTAAACACACTCGCACACACAAACAAGTAGTACTTGTTCAGCAGTGGCATTAATTAAATTCAATGCTCAGTGTTCTTTTTAATCTACTTGCATTGTTGTTTATAAGATGTTTATCACTCCCCAGGGACAGCACGATTTGTAGAGTATGTTAACCAAATCAATACATTGCTCACTGTATAACTTTTCAGCATCTCTCTCAATTAGGCGGGGAATAGCAAAATCTGAGTGAAATATGGATCTTCCCTCCACAAAGAAACCTCAAGCGCTCTAAAAGCTCAGTAGCTTCGTCAGAAAAATCCAGGTAGATGAAGCTTTGAAGCTAACAGCTTTATGTACACAATTCCACTGACAGAGGAATTGTGTATGGACAGAAAATTCAGAAATATACATCCGTCTATAAAAACATATATACACATATATATCTAACAAGACTCATCAGCAGAGTTCAATCTCCAAGCAAATCTGAGCATCACAGCTATTAAACATTAATTCTGAAGGACTAATGGGAACCGGCTGGCAGCTTCAGTACTTTTTCATTGTTTGAACTTCTTTCATTTGCTTTCCAGGACTATCCTGTTTTTCTCAAGTCTTTTGCCACCAAGAGATCGGGGAGGGGGGGAAAAAAATCTGCATTTTAATTGACATTCCAGAGAGCGGGAGAAGTCCAGAGGCTGCTGATTGCTGTCTATTCAGCCCAAACAGGCTTTTCAGATGAAAATGAGAAAAGGCTAGTGGAAGATTTACAGGGATTTGGTACAAAGGAGACAATAAAGTTTTAAATGTTGATAGCGTTTCACACCAAACGCATAATGGGTCCCAGTTTGAAGGGGCCGTTTTGCATTTAAATATATATTTCATTGATTTCTCTCCCTCCTTATCTCAGACGGGGCGGTTGTGCTCCCGCAGCACGGCGGGGCAGCACCGGGCTCCGAGCCGGGGCCGGTACCGAGGCGGGGCTGAGCCCCCCTTCCTCACTCAGCCCGTGCTGCCCGTCCTGCTGTCACCGCTGGAACCGTCCCCAGAGAGAGACACCCGCGGGGATGCGGGGAAGGCAGGGGAACAGCGCTGCTGCTCGGGCTTCCCCCCGCACCGCAGCGGCCACCGAGTGACCACAGCCCGAGCCGCAGCTGCAGCAGAACGGAGCCCCGCACCGGGGGATCCCGCCCCGAGCCCGCACCGGGGGATCCCGAGCCCCACACCGGGGGATCCCCGAGCCCCGCACCGGCACATCCCGCCCCGAGCCCGCACCGGGAGATCCCGAGCCCCGCTGCAGCGCGCACAGGGTGCCGAGAGCACGGCGGGACCCCCAGCCAGCCCTGCCCGGGGCCGCCCCTTCCCCGGCCCTCCCGCTGCCTTTACCTGCGGCGAGAGCGCCGGGCGGGCTCCGCTCCGCGGCGGCTCCCGGGCTGGGGCTCGGTGCCGAGCGGCGGCTCCCGGGACGGGGCGAAAGTGCCGTCACTGCGGCCGCGGTCACTGCGCGGGCGGCCCCGGCTGGCGAGCCCGCAGCGGCGCAGCGCCGCGCATCCCCCGCGGGACGCGCCCGGGGCAGGCAGGAGGGCGGCGAGGCGAGGCAGGAGCCGGCCCGGCGCCCCGTCCCGTGCCGTGCCCTGGCTCGGCCGCAGCGGCTACCGCCTCAGAGGGGCGAGCCCGCCGTGCCCGGCGCCAGCTGCCTCCTCCCCCGCGCGGGCATCGCCGAGCAGCGCGCCGCGGGTCCCGCTCCGCTCCATCCAGCCGCCCGCCCCGAGCCGCCGCAGCTTTGTCACGCCGACAGCCCCCTCGGGTGGGAGGTGGGTTTTCTCTCCCCCCTTTCCCCCTCTCGGCGCACTCCTCCGGCTCCTTCCTCCTCCCCCGGTCACTCCCCCCGCTGCAACCCGAGCCGTTTCCTGGACGGCGCTGCCGGGCTCTGCCAATCGCCGCCGAGCCCCTTCCCCCGCCCGGCCCTCGGGGCTGCGGAGCCGGGAGCCCGCACCCCGCCCGAGGGTCGCGGATGCCCCCGCGGCGCGGCCCCGGAACGCTCGGCAGCACCGGAGAGGGGCGGCAGGGGAGCGGGGACGCCCCGCTCCGGGTGCTGCCTGCCCGGGGGAGCGGGACCCTCATCCCGGGGCCACCGCAGGGCTGCAGGGGAGGAACCCCGCGCAGCTCCCGGACGGGCGCTCCGCTGAAAGTTTTCCAGCGGGTTGCAAAGGAAAGGAAAGGAAAGGTGGGGAGCGCGGAAAGCGCCACCGCTGAGGGTGAGCCCGGGCTGCGGCTCCGGCACCCCGGCACTGGCCAGCATCTGCATCCTCACACGAAAATGGTGCCAGCTCAAAAGCGGTCCTCGAAATCTCTCCTGAAGTGTTTCTGGCTCAGAAGCCATGGCTGGCCTGTGGCCAGTTCCATCTAGAGAGGGTGGTCGGATAAGACCGCTCCAAAAGTCACTCTCATGAGCTTCTCAGTCCAAAGCTTGATTCCAGCTGCCCCGTGAATTGGTCTGAGAGTGCACATTTAATACCTGTGTGGTGCCCAAATGGGAAAAGTTGTCGAAAAGTTATGCAAACATCATTTGTATGGACACACAGATTTAAAACTGCATAATATGGGTATTCAGAATTCAATATAGCTTAGCCTGATCCTTGCTTAATAAAACATTTGCTTTAGATACCATCAAGTAAAAGGTTTTGAATATGGAGTCTGTGTAATGCTTGCTTGTGTAGAGTCAGCTTGACAACAAAATCAATAAGTGGTGGTTGCCTCAAATTTAATCAGTGTTGATCAATTTAATGTTACTTTATTTAAGCTCTACTGTACATTTTATATGTTGTGTGCAGTATTGATCAAGGGGATTTTCAAGGACTGAGAGCACACATCGCAGTGTAAGACTACACACACCTAGACACCAAAAACTTGAAAAGAAGTTTTCTGTAGAGTATGTGCTTACCTCCCAGCATGTATTTTCCCACCACTACTGCACTCTTTATGAGGGACGGCAGACAAATTTGTAATTGATTGGAAACACAGGTTTAGTTTTTTGGTTTTGGGTTGGTTTTTTTTGTTGTTGTTGTTCCTAAAGCAACAGACATCTGAATGCTCTAATTGAGAAGCTGAGATGTCACAGTCAAGATCCAATTTTCCCAGCACCGGGCATGTCCATCGCCCATTGAAAACATTGTTAACACATTCTCACATAAATTATTGTCTGGCACAGGAAGCTGCAATACCTTTCCCCATTCATCGATATCTTTGCATACTCTGAAAGAAAAGGAAGCATTCCACTAAAAATGACAAATCAGAACACCTATTTCCAAGGTCTAGAAGCACTTGTCAGAATTTATTCTTTTGGAGGATGAAAAGATAGCAGTCTATCAATAGCAGCCTTTTCTCTTAAATGAGCCACATTCTCCTAAAGTGGCCCACAACAGCCCAGCTCCTCAATCTGAGAAAAGCAGAAGCATGTTTGGAATTAAAGGGGTGGGGGGGGAGATCAATTCTGTCATCATATTTAGGCTTCAAGAGATCTCAGTGGGCCCAGGGAGCCTTTCATAGCAGTTAGGCTGCTGAATGAGAGCATAATCTCTTTACAGTTTTTTCCTCCTCCTCTCAAAGTGGCTGGGATCCTTTCTGTGAGCCCTCCTGCACGTGAATGGTGTGGCTAATAAGCCTATTAATGAGGTTCCACAGCAGAGTGTGAATAGGTAAATAAGCCCCAATCTGTTGAGGTTCAGGAGCAAGGGCAGTAAAGCCATCATGAACTAAAGGTGACAGTTTGAACTGAAATAGGAACAACAGCTCCAGGTTTCAAGCGAAAGAATAGACAGACAAGGCACACATTCAGGCTCCTTCTACCCCCTACCGAGTCCTATTTTCTCCCCCATTCTTCCTCCTTTATAAAATGTCTTGAGTAGTCACCCATTTTTTCAAAAGCTCTTGAGACGTCCTTTTTCATCCTGGCAATGATACATCAATAGGGAGGAAGGAAAATGAGGACACCAATGCTCCTTTGCCCCGCAAGTTTCAAAAGCAGGAACAGCGCTGTGTGCCCTCGCATATGGAAGCGGGGGAGGAGAAAGAAAGTTAAATTGAATCTTTCAGCCCTGCCAGCTCTTTGTCGCTGCTGTCAGCGCAGCTCCGGTCCTCCCTCCGCACGCAGGCAGGGATACAGTTAATGTTCAACAGGGGCAGGGTCCCAGCCCTGCTCCAGCTGCAGCGAGGGCACAGCTGGGCTCGGCCAGATCCCCAGCCAGGGGCACGCAGAGGGGAGGAGATGGATTCACTGCTGCCCAGCATCTCTTTTACCTGGCAGGTGAAGATGTGCCTGACTTAGGGCCGCTCCTGGGCTGGACTCAGCAGAGCCCAGCTCATCCATAAAAGCCCATCTGGAAGGGATGAAGGCAGAAGGTTCAGCAGGTGACAAACAGCTCGAGAGATGGGGTGAGATGGGCAACCAGCCCCTCCGAGTAATGTGGGAAAAGTCACCTCGGAAAAAAGCACAGCACAGAGCTGCTGAGCGCTCTCAGTTCTACTCCTCGCAGACTCTCTGACATTTCTTTCAAGTGCTGGAGATATCAGGGCAGCCAGAGCTCCGCGGGACCCGGCTCCTCCGTGGAATTCCAGCGAGGAGGCAGCCCCGGCTCCGGCACGGTGCAGACAGATGGCAGGGGAGGCCATGGGTACCCAGGGGAGGGAAGTTCTGCAGCACTGATCTGTTCTCCAGGTGCAGGACCTGCTAACGTGCCACAGTTGCATCTGATGAAAACAGGAATAAAATACAAGAAGTTAAATCAGCAAAAAAATGAAAGAAAATGAAAGCCCACACATTCAAGTCTTAGAGGTCTAAGGGGAAAAACTCTCTAGATCCAAATTCAGCCACACACATCACTGAGGGTTTTCTCCATGAAAGACAGTGGGAATCAACAATTCTTCCCTGTTATTCCAACTGTCCCATCCAAAAATTTCTCCTGCCCATGCTAGATATGATTAAATGCTTGTCTAAGATTTCTTTTTATTTTTTAAATTTTCTTTTCTTTGAAGTTCTTCCAAAGCTAAGTGTCTAAACCCAAACTTTGGCAGCTAAAATATTTACCTGGTTTCCAAAGTGTTTATGGTTCTCTTTCCAGGCATCTTCAAACTTTTTTTTAGGGTACCAAGGAGCAAATCATAGGAACCCACTTCTGAAAATATTTTTTTTCAAAGATAGGCAAAGTTGGTCTATAGATTTTTCAGTGTCTTAGGGAAAAGTCATTTCATACAAAAGCAACCCCATTCTAAAATAAAAGCTACTGCTAAAAGAGAGGCTTCCATAGTAGTTCTCTCCAGGTATTACTTCAAGAAGTTGCTGAACTGAAAAATTGAGATAACAATTAATTATTTTAATGCAAATAAATCCAATAGTTATCCATGAAAGTGTGAAGCAGATGGGCTACCAAGTTCTTTTGCAGGAAAACGTGTATGGGAAGGGGGAGCTGCAGTTCCTGGCCCATCAAAGGATGGTTTTACTGGGTGTTTATCAAACAAGGAAACCTCATTTTAGTTAACCTAGAGAAGGGGGCAAATAAGGTGCTTTTGTCTATCAATTTTTGATCTTCCTCTACATTATGAACAGTTGAATATTCTAGGAAATACTTCTTCAGGCAGTAAGGCTAAGTAGTTGAGAAAAAAATCTTATTTTGACTGCTGCTTTGTCAATGTCTTGTAATGGCATTTGAGTATCAACACTCCCCTTGGATTGTTATGCCTTGTAGCCATGTAACCTTTCTGCTGCTCCTCTCATTTTGTGTGTCTTAAGGAAAATATTCCAAACAAATATTTGTTGTTTTCATTACAGTGTTGCAAGATATATTTAAACAGGAAATATGATGTGTTTTGAGCAGGGTATTACAATGGGATCCTGGACATTCAATGATTTCTGCCCTTCCCCATTGGCTTTCCTGGGAAAGGCACTTAATTTGTCTGTGTCCAAGATCTCCAGCTATGAAATGAGAATAATAGATGCTTCCTGTCTCCCACCCTTTATCCAGTTCATCTATTTAGATGGTAAGCTCCTCATCTCTGACCATGTTTTTATGCATGGCTTAGAACAATAGGGCACTGATCTCAGCTGGAACCTCCAGGCACTTCCATAATGCAAATATTGAATACTAACTAATCAAAATAAAAGAAAATCCTCAATTTATTATGTATTCCCTCATAAAGAATTTGTCACACACTGTCCTGGTAGAGCACCCCTGGTTCTTGGGGAATAGTATAATTTCTAAACAGAGGAAAGCAGCATCCATTGGAGAAGATCTTTTAGCAGTGAGCTCCTTTAAAGCAGACTGCAGAGAAACCCTGTGAATAAACTTCTGAGTGCTGAGCAGGGGACAGCAAAACAGAGCCAGACTTGTAAAAACGAGAAGACAAAGGCTGCAAAGAAAATTTCTCCCTCTGTTACAGAACTTGGTTATGTTTTG